CTTTTAAACAACACTTTTTTTAATTTCTTCAACCTCTTGTAAGCCAGTATTACTGAACAGTCACCGCTAATTCAGCAATATATTATACTTGGTAGGGTCACTGTGGCTGCAATATGGTCAGTTTATAACGGACTAGGAAACTTAAGGCAAGCTCTACCTTAGTTTCACTCCTAGCCATTCTGCTGAGGTTTTTCTTAGAGACCAATATCATGACCAACCTGTCAGGATTTTTACAAGAACTTTAAGAAGCCGATAAAGTCAATTAAAAAAAGATTTTAAAATTATGAATGAAATAGGTGAAAGTCTTTTTGACACATGTATACGAATCTGTGCTTTGTAAAGCTTTTCCCAACAACTTTTTCAATCACTCTGTACGGTGGATCAAAAAGTTTTATATCCTCAGCCCAAACGACTTAATTTGGAAAGTATCTTTGAGCAAACTGGATAATGGTCAGTGTACATTAAAACAGCAGGAAGAAAGTTTTTGCGGAGAATGCACAAGAACATTTCAAATTTTGAGGATTACGGTCGCTGATGCATTGATCATTTATCATACCACATTTTACCGGTAAACCGGTGTTGTGAAAAATTATAAGAATTGAAGCGAAACTGTAGCGTTAGACTGTTAAAATGTCAACAGCAAATACGTAAAAAAATCTGAAATAATATGAGGCACGAGGATTAGTTAACAGTAAAAAAATTAAAGTTTTCTAAAATGTCTTTTATATTTTACGTTTAATTGTTACGACATATTTCAATTTTATAGTCAAGTTTCTCAAGTCTTAAACTTCAGTGCTAATTTGCAAGTTGGTTTAGGTAGCTAAATAAGTAAAAACAGCAGAGGAATTATAATCATAAATAACTGAATAAAAATGTGAACAAAAGTGTCGTGTGGTAGAAAAAAATACCCAATTATTGCGGAAAGTCCAAACATTTCGCTCACCAAATATGCACAAAATGGAAGCACAATTACAAACACCGGGTTCAGTATCTTAACATTGCCAGTATATCTTAAACATTGGTATTATGTCAGCAATATTAGTTAGTATTCACCACAATACTACAAAAAAAATTTGTGAGATAATTAATGAAACTTTATCGGTATGAATATGAACAGAAAAGAAGTCAAATAAATGTTTTAACTCTATAATTTCTTTTTTTGTAATATATAATTACCTCCACACGAGTGAAATTTGTTTGAAAATACCGCTTTTTTTTGGAATTGTAAATGACTAACTTTGTCACGTAACTAGCGATGAAGGCAAAAATTAATCCAATTGCAAGACCACCAAATGAAACTACAAAAAAGCTTAAACAGCCATAAATGTAATCCCTGGCGATTAACGTTTGCCCATTATCTGTCATTTCAGTAAAAGCAAGCATGGTCTTATATATTACCTGAAACAAGAAAATAACAATTTCAGATTACTAAGACTCTGAAGTTGAATCAAAGCAAGTCAACAAGCCGTATATATTTGTATATAAATTTCAAACCGTACCACAGAAACACCATCATTCAGCAGAGATTCACCAAATACGGCAATGTATAGATCAACATTGACCTTAAACAATTCAATTTGATGAAAATTTCATTGATTCGTTAGACTGTTGTTCAGTAACAAGTGACCGATCTATTTCTGGAGATTATAAATGGTACGTTTGAAAAAGCAGTTTAAGTTTGAGAGCATATTTGCGATATTGTATATCATTCCAATAAACTTACATCGCAAAAATAATTGAAATCACTCTTCAATGATATTTCAAAAGTTAAACTTTCTTAAAACTGTTTGAGATATTATCATTGCTGTTGCTTAAAAGTCTAGCAACAATGAGGAATAAAAAAATAACTGCCCACTTGCATCTCCTCAAAGATAACAATAACGGCAACAGGATCAACGTCAACAATAAGGGAAGCAAATAGAAGATAGTGAAGCAACGACATATCCATTCCAAAGATTCCTGTTTTTCCTATGGCCCACAATGAAATACCTAAACTAGTTACCACATGAACCTTTCCTTAGAAATTTTTTTATCATTTTAGTCACTTCACAAGCAACATATCTGTCATACATAAAACCTACCCACTGCAATGAAATTCCACAGAGTACCAATAATAGCGAGCGTCAGAATTGAGCCCAGATTATCAAAAAATTGGCGTGCCGGCATAAAATAACCTTTAAAATTTTGGTTAGAAAGAAGGTAACAAATGTTAAAGTTAAAAAATATGTGGCAAATTCTGTGTACGATAGAAGAAGCGAGTGTCAGAAAGTTGAAAATAATTGATTATTAAAGTAAATATGATGACCCAAAAGTTCATATTACAAAACGCAGTAAAATTATGAAAATAAGTACCTTTATATTCTAAAACTGAGTTTACCAGATTTAAATAAAGCTTATTATTTGGTACTTATGCATCAGCAACTTATAAAGACTTTGCTGTAGAACGATCAGATGTTTCAGAAAATAGGAATCAAAAAACACTTACAGAAATAAGAAAGGTTTGTGGGAAAAAAATATTTGTTAGCCTTGAGAGCAATTGTATGTGAAGAGGAAAAACTTGTGCCGGATAAAATGCACGATACAAGATTTAATGTCGTAGAACAGAAGACCTTACAGATAAAAAGGTCTGTGCAAATTTTAGAAAGCTGCAAGTTGTCAAGACCACCCTCTGATGCTGTCGAAGCAAATCAAAATGCAAAAAAAACTCAGAACCTCCAAAAATGAAAAAAACTTTAATAGGCAGGAAATTGGTTTATAAGAGGTAACTTTATAAGCAACAGTAAGAAGTTTCTTAGAAATAACTGATGTATGCACTTCCTATACGTCACTTAATACCGACAATCAGCTTTTTTAACAAAATTTGTAGGTCACTCATATTCTGCAAGTTGTTTGAAATGGCTTTTCGTTAATTGTTTGAAATAGACTTTATTTTGAACTCTAAACTTATATTTATCTTTCATGCGATTCCTAATTTACCTTTTAGTGCTACAGTTCATTTCTGCAATGCTTTTGATGATACTTGATGACAGCTTAGTGAAAGTAAGCAACATTAAATAGGTGTCGGTGAGTTCATTGTTTTATTCAATAAATTAAGGTTTTTTCAAAGAATAAGTTGAAATTGTCTTAAACAATAGTTACACCACTAAGAAAACTTTAAACGACGTTTTTGTTGCTCTCACTTTAATTGTGAAGAAGGGTAGGCCAACAAGCAGGACCACTCCAAAAAGTTTTCTTTTTCGTTTTTATTATCACCGTGCATTTTTGGCTTTTAAAAATAAAGCAATCAAAAGAATTTTCTTAATTAAAAAAAAACTTTTTGACAGCTAAATTTTTTACCTGCATCAAATACAAGCGGCGGCAACAGGTAGATGAAGAAAATTTCAGATCCTAATGAGAATTTGTGTCGGTCAACACCGATAAGGTTCAGCACTATACCCACTCCAAGCCCAACCATAATTAGTAACGAACTATCCGGAAAAATTTCTGATACTTTTGGCCATATATGAAACACTAAAAATCAATGATTTGTTCAGTAAAGTGTTGTTAATCTAACGGTCAGTTGCTTTAACTGAAATTTTTTGATTCATATCTTAATATTTAATAAAAAACTTTGAAACAGTGACAAAAATTTTCTATTAAACAAAGCTGAAATTATTTGGTTAGCATTTAGTAAGAGCGTTCAAAATAAATAAAAGTAATAAAGCAATGGTTAACACAAACCTATTTTGGCTACAGCTGCAACTAGCAACCAAACAGCAATAATCAGGGGTAAATTAACTTCATCCCAACTAAAAGTTGCAATCGAATATCGTTCTGGTATTTCATTCTCTTCTTTTTCACCGCAAACATTTCTTGTGTATAAGATAAGAAAGCATATAGCAACTACATTTATACTGATGTTTTTCAAAAACATTTTACATAAAACCAGTATCTGGAAAAATATACAAAAATACTCTCTAGCTTTTTTTTTTTTTAGTTAAGCGGATACCTGTCACATTGACAAAACGCTGTTTACTGGGCATAAAATAAACGTCGGTGTATTACAAATATGTTTCAAAAATATTATAGTAATAATTAATGTTCACTGATATTACTGATATACAAACAGAATACTAAAATTATCTCTACCACAATGACATTACAACTATAGTGATTATTTTACTTGTCAAATTATCGTTTATTTTAGCAAACTTAAAAGTGTGAAATAGCATTTGCAACAGAGACTGTTTCCTGTAGTATTTTTTATCACTTATCCTCAGTATTACGCTTAAAGTTCTCTAGCAAAGAAATTTTTTGTCAATGCAACATTGGCATTAAGTTAATTGATACATGTAGTTCAAATCTTTTGGTATCATATCACTCAGGTTACCGGTTAAATTGACATTAACTGAGAATATGCAAAAAAAAAAACATGTTAGCTGTCGTAAAAGTAGCGGTAGCGCAGAACATAAATTGTGTTTGTTTGACACTGTTTCAGTAAAAAAAAAAAAGAAGAAAACATTTTTTTTAAGCGTTTTTAACCATCAAATATAAAATGGCAAATAAATTTTTCATTTTTTTTTATGTCAGTAATAAATATGTAGAAAAAATTTTTTATTACCATTTACTGGTGGCAAAAAAAAAGGAATCGGTTTATACCATTTTTGATAATTAACATTTTATAAACTTTAAAAAACTTAGTGTTGTAGGTTACAGTACAGTAAAAAATACAACACTATAATATTCCGTATCTGTACAGCTGTTTACAGCATAAATGTGGTTGAAAGATTTTGAAACAAAAAAAAAAACCTTTTTTTATATTTCTTCAACCTTGAAGAGCAGTAAATTTTGTTACCAAAGTTTAAAAAGCAAAAGTTACTAGATTTTTTTTTCGCTGATTATTCTTAACTAAAACCAGAAAAGTTTACTGGTGTATAGACACCACAACTGCTACATGTGAAATTTTGTAAACATTGATGATTTTAGAGGAAAAAAATGTAAAAATCGCTGAGATGATTGACTTGACATTGATGAATAAATATTAAGAGAAAATTTGCATAGGTGATAGTTGTAATTTGCATAAAACTGTTACCTCAAAATTTATCGCTGTTATCTTCAATATAAAGCAAGGCAACAGATTTATCGACGTCAATCATTAGTAAAGCTAAGAATGATACGTTAAATATTTCTTGAGTTTTTTTTTTCTTGAACTTACAAATTAGCTGATATTCTTCAATTTATTGCTGGTTTGATTTTATTCAGTTGTAATAGCAATTATATGTACATCATTTTAGATGTCTTAGACAAGGAAGGAAAACACTTTAATTTAGTTATATTTATTTGTTTATTTGTGAAACTCTTAAGTAAGCAAAAAAAAAAACTATAGTTGTTTTTTTTTTAATTTATTAAATAGAGAAAAAAAAAGATAAAAAAATTAAAAATATGACTGACTCACACAAATTTTTGCATTACTGCCAAACCCTTTTACTGCTGCCAATCAATCGTTTAGTTTACATCGTTTAGTTTATAAATTATCAGAAATTTTAAAAGACAACGAACAACTTACATTCAACTTTTAACTGGAAACAGAAAAGTAACAAAATAAAACAGTTAATCTAAAGACTAAATTATTTTCACCAACAATAAGCCATGCATTAAGAATGCATTGATGTAACAGTCGTCCAAAAGTGAACCGAGTAAGACATCTCATCTACCGACAACTTTTTCTCTTATCATTCGACGTTTACTTATTAGTTGGTTTTCCATATAATAGCCAAATAGTGCGACTTCTGCACAAAAATTGTACACACCCCAATGTTTATTGATAATTTTTCAAAATAAGAAATCAAAACGTTTTTTCTTGTTTTTTTTTTCTTTTTTTTTCTTTTTTTCATGGTTAATGA